GCGACCCCATGTGACACAGGAGACCTGCTCCATAGTTCCCTAGGCTGTAATCTTTACAAAGCAGATTGCCAGGAGCAGCTGGTGGGTTCAAACTACAGAGCGCTTGAAACTAACAGATTTATATGTTATATATACATATATATGTTAAATATGTTATACATAAATCTCTTACTACTGTTTTAAGACCAAGAGTGTTTTGTTTTTAAAATGCAAAACGTGAAAAAACAAACAACTGTTGGGTGGATTCCAATTCATGGTGACCCTGTAGGTCAGCAGAACTGCCTTATTGGATTTCCAAGGCTGTGATCTTCACGGAAGCAGATTGGTGCATCTTTCTTCCTTGGAGTGGCTGGTGGGTTTGAACCCACGACCTGTAGGTTAGCAGCTGAGCATTTAACCACTGTGCCACCAAACCAAACCTGTTGCCGTGGAGTCGATTCTGACTCATAGCAACCCTACAGGACAGAGTAGAACTGCCCCCTAGAGCTTCCAAGGAGTGGCTGGTGGATTCCAACTGCTGACCTTTTGGTTAGCAGCCTGAACTCTTAACCACTGCGCCACCAAGGTTCCTTAAAATTCAAAACACCCATCCCTAAATCTCTAACGCTTTCCCAAAGGCCATCCAAATGGTTAAGGAACTATTATCGCAGTCTTATTCTGAATGGAAATGATTGTTAATCTTACCCCAAAACATCTCTAATTAAGTGTTCTTTGTTTTCACCCAGTGAGGTGGGTGTGCATTGTTTCCACGGGAAAATACAGGTATCCTACAAAAAGCGCGGAGGAGAGCCGTTTGGGTGACTCAGCTGTGAGGAGGAAGTCGGAAAGCATCTCGGGAACCTGTGCTGGATGCAGGAGGAGCACAGAAAATGACCTTGTTGAATGCGAAATTAATCTCGCTATGCTTGCCAAGGAGCCCTGGTGGCGCAGTGGTTAAGCACTCAGCTGCTAATCACAAGGTGGGCAGTTCGAACCCACCAGCCCCTCCATGGAGAAAGATGTGGCAGTCTGCTTCCGTAAAGATTTACAGTCTTGGAAATCTTGCGGGGCAGTTCTACTCTGTCCTATAGGGTTGCTAGGAGTCAGAATTGACTCGAGAGCTGTGGGTATGCTTATCATGGGCTCTTGTTGGCTGGAAACAGCAATCCCCTGGCACCTCTGAATTTCTGTGCCTTTGACTAGGATGCTGAGGGGGACCTGAAGGCTCTGCTCTGCCAGGTGGTTCTATCTGTTGCCTCGCACTGCTTTTGGACGTCTTCCCCGGAGCCCTCCCCAACCTGGTGACACTGTTGTGATTTCTGGGGACACTGAGGCCTCAGTGGTTAACCCCCTAGGGAGTTGGGAGCAAGTTGTTCCAAAGATCGGGGTCACACTGCAAGAAACAAGATTTGCTTTGTTTCATGCAACCTGACCTTCTGTGACATCCCTTTTTGACCTGACTGTCTGGGAAAAAATCACCTACACCTCACCGCCTTTGCCTCTCCTCTAAACAAAGGAGCCAACACGGTGTTTGTTCTGGGGCCCCTCGTTTGGATCCTCTCTTCTGGGGTCGGAGCTCCAGCAGGAAGGGCAGCTCCAGCAGGAGGGGCAGCACCAGGCTTCTGTAGAGACAGCTCTGGGGTCACAGCTCCAGCAGGAGGGGCAGCACCGAGCTTCTGTACAGACAGCTGTGGGGTAGGAGCTCAAGCAGGAGAGGCAGCACTGGGCTTCTGCAGAGACAGCTCTGGGGTCACAGCTCCAGCAGGAGAGCAAGCACCGGGCTTCTGTAGACACAGCTCTGGGGTAGGAGCTCCAGGAGGAGGGGCAGCACTTGGCTTCTGTAGACAGCTCTGGGGTAGG